GAACTTGGACCAAGTTCCAGCATCGTGGGCACAGGTCTAGTTTCTCTGAATCGATCACATCACCGTGTTAACATCACGATGTTAAAACACAAGGTGAAACATTGCGCATATAACCAATTTTTGGGGCAAATTGTTCATTGGTTCTTGCTCCATTCAACCGCAATGATTTGCAGTTGGATGGTTTGGGGCAAATTTCTGATCGGCCACGAGCCCACGGGAATGTTACACCTGGTATTCTTACATCACGTGGCTCCGATCATTTCTCTCGTTACCGTGTACTACCTCGACGCTCCGTTGCACGCGGACATTTCGTTGCGACTCCGCGATACGACATTCGGTCATGTCGTCGATTAATCGCATTGAATAATGCATTCTATCATCCGTACCCGCCCGTTTCCGACCCCGTGTAGAGAATCGCGGTGCTCCCCGGCCCCGGGGGTTAAACCCCGGCTAGCATTACAGGCGTCACAGTGTCACGCGACTCAAATATTTCGTGCTCGCGCCCATCCCCCTTGCTCTCATTTGTCTCTGTCTGCCCGCCGCGCGCGCCCCTTCTCACCTCGGCCGTCTCTTTTTCACGCCCGCGCGCAGTCTCGGGGCCGTCTCGTTATCTTCACACTTGACTTGAATTTCTCGTATCAGGATCATCTTCCGTCCTACGCGCCTATCTCCGCGCGCGCGCGCGCCGTACGAGATAACCGGCCGCGCTAAAGTTCGCTGTACCGGAAATTCTGGATAAGTTTCGAGCGCGCGCGTTTCGTTACTTCCTTATCGAGGGAATATTTCAGCTCCTAATAATACTGTATGCCTGGAGACGTCGCGTCCGGTGACAAACGCGCCGTTCGATTTATAGAATGACACGATCCGCGAGATGATCGGCTTATGTGCCACCACACGGAGAGAATTTTTTCTTAAAAGTTATCCTGAAAATCATGTAATCGTGGGACAACATGGCATTTCAAGGAATTTTATAAGTTTTTTAAAATTTTACCGTACATTCTACTAATAATTATACTTGGGTATTCATAGTCTGTTTATATAAAATAGAATGTTTCTGGACGCAGAGAGCACATTGTAGATTACTCTCTGAAAGTCACTCAGTGGATTATCACTGAAAACGGTGAATAGTCACTGATGTGCAGTTATAAGCGTACCACTGAAAATCGCAGTGGTACACTTATAACTGTTTCCAGTGATAATCCACTGAGTGACTCTTAGAGAGTAGGCTTTACCCTCCATCTCTTCCAAGGATATTCAGAAAAGCATTCGTAAAGGCCTGCGTCCACGATGCTGGAACTTGGTCCAAGTTTTAGCTTCGAGCAATGTGTAGCCAATCAACTTGCGGCTATTCCATAAAA